TCGCAAAACAGGTGTTTTCGGGACCTAAGCTTCGCAAGACAGCGATTTAAACAGCTGATTGACGGTTCGTAAAGTGGCTTTCCTATGGCCGATCTTTGCTAGACAACAACGATTCTTCCCCATTGGAACGCATTAAACAGGTTTCAATGTATTCCAATGGGGAAATGCTTTTCGCTAGACAATGATTTCGCTAAACAGCGATTTCAGTGGAACGGATTATCATCGTCTAAACGAGGTACCACTGTATATGTATAATAATTAAGTAAAATTTTGGGTTCAGACGCAAATTTAGCAATCTGGAAAACATCCAAGTTTGGCTTAAACTGATTTGCAGACATTATATGGGCAATATGTCTGCAAAATTTCAGACAAATAGCTTCTGTATGTATTTGCATTTTTATTCTTTAAAAAATAATGCCAATAACCTCTTTTTATTTCCTAGGAGAAATTGATGAAATTTTCAAAAATTTTCAATTGCCCTTGCTGAAGGGATTAGGCCTAACTGTTTCATAAGAAATAGGGGCATGGAGGTTTCTACAACAGTAGGATTTACCATTTGGGAATTTCCCCAGTCGAACATTTTAATCTCTTTGGGTATTTTTGGGGACAATTGCTATGAAAAAGACATACATAAGATTGCCAGGTAAGCAGCATCCATTCTCTGAGATTTCACATGGATAGATCCTTGTGATGGCCTAATGTTAAGGTTTGCAATTTTGTATGCAAAGAGTGTTAAAATAATTAAGGGAAGTCTAAAAAGAAGCATCCCAAAAATGCACATTGTACTTAATGACATGAGATTTAATAGTAGCAATTTAAAGCATCTCTTTCCTAGCAAGCTAACACTTGAGCATGGCCATGAAAAACCAAAACCTTGGGGGGGAACAGTCCTAGACTATGAAATCCTAGAGTAGTGAGATACAGTTCTAGCAATTTGATACCTCTCTGATTTTGTTAATAAGCATTCTGCTTACTTAGGATAGTCATACCCAAGGAAACTGATCTGGAAGAAATTGGTCCTGTAGTGACTTGCTTTCTTACAAGTTTGCTAACTTAGAAAAAGCAATGTAGGTTTCCACAGAAAATTTAAGGAAAGTCCTTAATAGGTTAGTAGTTTGCTTCACCAACAGACCTCAGTTGTTGACAGTAGAAGAGAGAAAACCACAAATGAGCAAAATATAAATATAGGAAAGCAATAGATAGCAATATACAAATCAGATACCCCTAACACAGATACCAGGCATCAGACACCAGAAGCAAGAAACAGGCAGGAGACAAAACAGCACATGGAGATCATGACTTTTCCAACATAGATGCAAACTGCCAAATGGCGGTGGCTTGGGTGAGAAAACCTAACATTTTTCATTGTCTGGATATTGGTAAAGTGAGTGAGCAGAGTGAAAATCTGAATTAGCCCCAGGATAGACCTGCAAAGGGGGGGGGTAATGAGGTGGGAGAGAAAAGAAAGAGAAGAGAGAAAGAGAAAGGGTAATTGTTGGGAATTCTGGAGGAGGAAAAAAGAATCATGACACCTGAGTGGAGAGGAAGACTGGGTCACTGGATGGGTCCACGGGTGGATCAGCGAAGAACAGGTATGCCTGGGTAGATGAGAAGGAAGACACAGCGGGAAGCACGAGATATTTGAGAGCTCCTAAATCATGCAAGGATGAGCACCAGTGCTAGTTTTGAATTAAAATAAAATACACACGCAACAAAAAAACAACAAAAGGGAGCAGAATAGAAAATAACTGATAAAGAACGAAAGTAAACACACTTAATTCTAAATATTTTAAAGATGATGACTGTGTGGAGAAGTAGGTGTGGAGATGTTGGAAGTGTTTCAGGGGCGCTCCTGTTCTCCCCTCAATTTCAGCTTTCCAGCAGACCAGCTAAATACCTACATAACACTACTCTTTATGACTCTTTGTAGATCATGAGTCAGTTTGGAAAGTAAGGAAAAGCCTGCCAATTTTTACTAAGAATCTGGACAATACTGTAAATTAATACAGCCACTGGCTGTGCTTTGCATACCTGTATTTTCACTATAGCTGATGTTGCAGGCAGGTGGCCCAACTGTCTTGTTCCTGGGGCCCTGTTGTTCGTGTTGTTGTTTAGTTGTTAAGTTGTGTCTGACTCTTCGTGACCCCATGGACCAGAGCATGCCAGGCCCTCCTATCTTCCACTGCCTCCCAGAGTTGGGTCAAATTCATGTTCGTTGCTTTGATGACACTGTCCAACCATCTCGTCCTCTGTCGTCCCCTTCTCCTCTTGCCTTCACACTTTCCCAACATCAGGGTCTTTTCCAGGGAGTCTTCTCTTCTCATGAGATGGCCAAAGTACTGGAGCCTCAGCTTCAGAGTCTATCCTGGGGTAGATAATTCTATGAGAGCCCCTGTAAAACAAGACAACACTTCAAAACTTTGCCAGCTCCCAAATGCTTGGGTCACACACTCCCTGGTGACATCCCCACAGAATGCCAGCCAGTTGGAAGTGTTGCAGGGTTGTTCCTGTTCTCCCCTCAATTTCAGCCTTCCAGCAGACCAGCTAAATACCTACATAACACTACTCTTTATGACTTCGTAGATCATGAGTCAGTTTGGAAAGTAAGGAAAAGCCTGCCAATTTTTACTAAGAATCTGGACAATAAATTAATACAGCCACTGGCTGTGCTTTGCATACCTGTATTTTCACTACAGCTGATGTTGCAAGCAGGTGGGCCAACTGTATTGTTCCTGCCCCCCTCCTACATTGGGCAAATTCACATTGATCCATTTGAAGGAAGAACTTGCTTTGTAGCTAGACATTTGAAAACCTAATGTCTTCCCAGAGTCCAACTGAGGTGAATGGAACTTACTGCTGGGTAAGCAGGCACAGGACTGCCTCCACCACCCCCACACCCAAGTGTGCTTCTGGATCAGGCCTTTAGTACCACTGCAAACAAGTGTCACGGACAGATGTACAGTTATGAATGGTACACTAGAAAGAGGTCTTGTGAATGATAACACCACATGCACATCTTAGCATAGGTCAAGCTTTTGCCCATTAAAGCAAGAATATAAGCAGCTTCTCTCTGTGTCTAGTAAGCTGGCAGGAAATTCAGTGCCTTAGGCCCCAATGAAAATGAAACACAACAGTGGCTCTTTCTCAAATCGAGAGAAATGAAGGCTTGCATTCATAGACACCTGAACCCCTTCCCTCAGGCAGCAGATTTTGCAGTACCAGTGTATTTTTTCCATCTATCCACGGCATGGATCCATATAAATTTTAATGTATGCTCATCTCCAAATCATTGTCCACCTCCATTTCCTCGGTTGTGGCACTGGCGTGAGAGGTTGGACTGTAAGCTTCTTTGAAGTTGCATATTTTCTCCCCACAGGTACTCTGTCCATGGAGTGCTCCTGGTGTTGATGAGGCTTGCCAGGTCTCAAAGAATGAGCTGCAGTGCCAGGAAATGACTGGTCTCTCCTGAATCTCCAGGCCAGGCAGACAAACATCAGCAGTAATGGTGGAAGGTAATAAATGAGTCTCATTTGTTGTTACAGGGTGGCCATAGTGTTTGGGTACCCAACTCCAACCCTCTCCAAATGGCACCAGGGCTCGCTGATGCCAAACCGTGGCCTGAGCCGGACCGGTCCGTGGAGACAGACCTCCCGCTCCCACACAGCTGATTTGCACATCCATGCATGTTCCAGCATGTCTGTGCAAGTGCTGCACCGCTGTTTGCACATGCAAATGAGCACCCCCACTCCCGTGAGCACCACGCCACCATTTGCGCATGCGCACAAGCACGTACCCCCCAAGCGCTGCACTGCCATTTGGAGCAGTACATGCAAGAACACCTTTATGCTGCACTGGTGTGCCTTAGCACCACCTGGGAGTGGATGGAGATAGATGTACAGACTTCAAAGCTACCTCAGGAAAAAAAAACCCAAAACATCAGACTTTCTTTTTAGAGGGTGAAACTATACTGGCAAACTAAATTGGAAAAAATTGGCTTCGCTGCACCTTGACTTCCATTGTGTTTTGGGGGTGTATTCAATTTAGGTGATTCAATGAAGACTCTGAATTGTTTTGGTGCCAGTGCCTACACTGGCCCTCAATTCAATGCTATCTAATACACGCTCACAGCCCTCCTTCCTTTGATGCTGCCTGTCCAGTGAGCCTCAGCTCTTTCTTCCCTTTTATTTTGTCTGTACAGAAGTGATCTAGCACAAAACTAACAGATCTAGCATTGAACTTGGTAGTTTATAAAAAAATAAATATATATATCAGGGTGGCTAAGGAAAAGGTGCACAGGGATGGGGTTGGAGACTGCACAGCTCCTTCCCCAGCACTACATTGTGACACTTCCCAGAATATGTTGCCTGTCTCTGTCTAATGATTGAACCAGTCCTGTCAAGAGGTCTAGAGTATAAAATTTCTGAAAAATAGAGTGGTCCGAATATACCCTGAAGTATATATATATGTCATGATGATGGGGGATGTTGAAAGAACAATGCATCACAAAGGGGGCAGCCAACTCATCAATGCTGTTGAATTACTGAATTGAAACAAAAACATCTCCATTATCAAGCATGCATGGCATCATAACATATGCTCATCCAAATACTCTAGTAGTAGTTGCATAAGAATCTGGTTCATACACTAATGAATGTCAGATTTCAAGCAATTTGTTCCACCTGTCAGTTCTGATTCCCTGACTAAGACTCTTTCTTTGAATCTTGAATGAAAACCTTCATATTACTTATGAGTCTGTCACAATCCTCCTTAAAATACACTCTCATTTCATTTTCATTTTAAGAATTTATTGATCCAAAGGGTATGAAGTTTGGATACACTCTGGCCAAGTACTAGTTGTAGAAAGTTCTGCGGTAGAAAGACTTAATTTGTCCATTTTTATTTATTTTAGTTATATTATTTATACAGAGCTTGCTTGGAAAGTATCTCTTAAAAAGAAATCCTATATGGAACTTATTGAAAAGGTATTTTACTGCTGTTAATATTGGAAAAAAATAGTAGTTGGTTATGTTTTATTACACATTGATCATTATTTTAATTACTATTAAAATGAACTTGAGATTAATCAGCCCGCCATAAAAATTTAGAACATCTCTTCAAAATTCCTTTAACAGTTCCTGTGAGGAGGAGGCCTGAGGCATAGGTGCCCCTCTCAGCAGGCCATCTCAACTAGGCCCAGGATCTACTGAATTCCTAATTCAGGAACTGAACTCCCTGATAGATTTTGGAGAGACGAGTCTTGCAGACACCGCACCTGGGGAACCCAAATTACAAGAACCTAGCCATCTCAAGGAGGGAACCCAGGTGGAAGTCCAGAAGGTCCACGCCTTGAGGACTGACCCCGAGAGGAGCTGAGAGGTGCCTAGAACATGAATCTCTGGAATTCAGCTTCTAATGCCTCCAACAGCTGTGCACACTGAAAGACACATAAACACACATTGTGAGGTTGACTGAAAGCCAAATGTTTGTTTACAAATGGATGTCATTCTATATGATATGATTTTCAGTGCCTCAGTAAAGCCAATCTATGTATTCACAGTTTTGTCAACTTCTTTGGGTTCTGCTTTCTGACAAACTGCCCAGCCAACAAAAAAATCAAATAAAAACAGACATGCACAATCTGTTGTGAGCACATGAAATCAGCTGCTCGGAAATGCCAGCTGGCTTTGTGGCACAAGGGAGCTTTGTTGCCATCCAGACCAGCTCTGGATTCTTAAGAAATCAAAATATCTGCATTTTGAGATACTCTAAATATTTAATCCTTGCAGGTGAGGAGGGAATTTTGCATATACATCTCAGACTGTGTCTTTCAATCCCTTCTGTTCCTGGGAGTATTTGATGGGGGTTTAAGCAACCAAGTATGTGTGTATGAAGCTTACCCTTCTTTGCTATGAAAATCTCTATTTCTGACTCATTTGGGATGTTAACAGATGGATCTCTCCCAGTTTAGAAGAAGCTTGGTAGCCCAAAAACATACACATTGAATCTGAGTGCAGTGAACATATTGCCTATCACATTTAGTATGTTAAAGGGCACTGTCAGTGGGATATGTGGGATAAAAGAGAGCCAACAGGGTTGTCTGATTTCAGTAAACGTACATCAGCAAGAACAGAAGTCTCTTCTCAAAGGAATTGATTGGGCTCAAATTAATATTTACTATGCCTGTTGAAACTGTTGAATTCTAGCCAAAATTATAACACTGCCTATCAATGGCAGTCCATGTGGATTGTGTTTATGACACTGTAACAAAGACCAGAAGCCCAACAAGGTGGTTTCCCAGCCACAAAAGACTTAAACAATGGCAGGGATATCCTGCTCACTGACATGTGAGCTATCAACCAGTTCGCTGCAAAAATAATATCCAGCCATAAAATTTTGTATATTGTTGAACCTTTAACTTCAAAAGAATTAATTTTTTCCCCTGTCAGATTTCTTCAGTATTCCATTTCACATCCATATACAGTGACTGGGAATACCATCATATGGATGTCTTGGTTTTAAATCTCCAGTGACAAATCCTTATACTTAAGTATCTTCTCTAGTTTTTTCATGCCTACCCTTCCAATTCTCAGTTTTTCCCTGATTTGTATGCTGCAGTCTCCGTTTGAATTAATAACTGAGCTAAACTGAGAAAAAATTTGTTTCATTTTGTTCATTGTAAATACTAAAGTCATGTTATTCTTCAGTAGTCACCATTTTATCTTCTTAATATTCAACTACAATCCTCCTTTTCCACTTTCTTCTTTTACCCTGCTCAAAAGTTGTTTCAGGTCACTGCTGTATTCTGTCGGCAATATGGTATCATGTGCCTATCTTAAATTATTGATTGCTTACATCAATTTTTGCTCCTTTTTTTAACTCTCAATGTAATCCACCTTTTCATATGATATCATACACAGTGAAAAGGAAGGAAGATAAAACACAATGCTCATTTAACACTTTTACCTATAATAAACCATTATGTTTCTCTATATTTTGTCCTAATAGTAGCTTCTTGTCAAGAGTACCAGCTGTGCATCAGGACAATCAAATGCTGTGGGACATCTGTTTCTTTTAGAACAAGTTGTAGTTTTCCATGATCCAAACAGTGAAATAGATTGTTGTAATCTATAAAGTCCAAACTAATTTTCTTGTGAAATTTTTTTGCTACACTCCAGTAGCCAACATGTATTTGCATCATGCTCTCTAGTGTCTCTTCCTTTACTCTAAGCAGATTTAACATCACAATTCCTGCTCTATATACGGTAAACATTTTTCTTACAAAATCTGAGTTTGAATTTCCAGCATTATTTCTTGTTTTCATTTTGAATTCCCTTATCATGGGGCTTTCAAGATATAAATACTAAGGTATTTGTTCTAGCTGCCATGCTTTAAACCAATTTTAGTTTCTATGTAGCCTTTGAAAGAAGTCTACTAAAATAGTATTAACTTTTAAATACCTCTGTTAATATTTTGCAAAACTAAAGTTACCTATTATATAAAATAAAATCTTACCATGTTTTCCTTTCTCTTCAATTTCAGGAGGAATCACTGGGAAAAATTAGAACAATTAAGATTAATTTTAAAAAAAATATGGACAAGTCACAGTTGGGCCTCAATAATTAGGTAAATAAAATGCAGTGCATGAAGAAGGTAATTACAGAATATACCACTCTTAATTTAATGTAAATTTGATTTCTTAATAAATACAGTGGACCTTCGACTTACGGATTTAATCCGTAATGGAATGGTAGCCACAGGTTGAAAAGTCCATAGGTCGAGGGTCCATTTCCCATAGGAATATATTGAAAACCATTTCATCCATTCCAGCCAAAGAAAAAAAATTCCAGGCTTTGAAAGCTGCACCCGGCAGGGACAGGAGGCAGAGGGCACCAGGGACAGGAGACAGAGGACAGCGGGTATAGCTTTGGAAGCCCTGGAAGCCGAAAGCTGCTCTGTCTCCTGTCCCCTGTGCCGTCTGCCTTCTGTCCACAGGAGGCAGAGGGCACCGGGGACAGGAGACAAGAAGGCAGTGAGGGTGGCTTTGAATTTCCCTCCCTTTCCCCCTGCCTTTCGTAGAGCGAAGCTTTGGCCGCAAGTCAAACTAAAATTTTGCAGCCGGAGCTTTTCGTACCTCAAAATTTCCATAAGTAGGGACCTTTGTAAATCAAGGATCCACTGTACAAGGTTCAATTGCAACTATACACCTGTAAAAGTAGGAAATATTTTGAATGCCAAAAGCATCCACAGAACTCAAAAACTGTAAGCAAATACATACAGAAAAAAGAGGGGACTTACCCATGAATCTGGGATCTGTAGACCCCTAAAGTAATTCTTTTCAGCTTTTATATGAAGACATTCATTTACTTTGCATTTTGAAGGATATAGAATCTGAAATATAGTTGCAGTCAAAAGTAGTTGTTATTTTGAAGGCACCCTATTTTCCTCAGTAATAATTCCCAAATACATAGCAGGCCTATCGGATGTATTCATGAGGCAAGCATTCTGGAACGTGTGTTTTCTGATGGGTTCGAGAAACTGTTTTATAAAGACAGACAAAGGCAACACAACATAATGTGATCTGTTGTGGACAGTTGCCCAAACAGGAGGGGCAAATTAAGTTACACATTGATTTCCTCCCCCACCCCAAGAAGCCTGCCTCTTCCCTCTCTGATAAGAAGCCATATCAATTAACCAAAAAAAAAAAAGCTTTCTTCTCATTTATTTGCACACAAGGGACAAGACAACAATATTAAATCTAGGGACTGAACATTATCAGCCCAAATTAATTATCTCCATAATTTTTTTATTGTGCGAGTGCTGTAGCTTTTAAGATTAGCTAATCATGTTTTTGCACGCATCACACCATTGTTCCTTTGACCACAACCTCTTGCATTGTTGCGACACGTTCTTCGATGACCTCCCTGCTTCTCTTGCTTCTAAAAGTTCATGTTGCAGCAAATATTAGGAACTTGCAGTATTTCTCCTTCCCACATAAGACAGGAACAATCTTACCAATAGCCAGAGTAAGATAGCCGATGTCAGGGCAGGGGTACAAATTATACTTTGTGTGGCCACCTGGAGACCCCTCAGTTTTAAAAATTGAATTATTTGCCAAAAATAGGAGAACCACACTTCTATGGAGTATGGACATGCACACATTTTGTGTAAGTGAAATAAGAGAGTTGTGGGGGAGTATTTGAAAACAGAATTCATTTTCAACCAGAAAATCCCTTGAACTCTCAAGGGATCTCTGCAGCTCCAACAGAGAAAAGTGGAAGTGGCTGGAGGTCACTTCCACTTTTCTCTGTTGGAGCAGCAGAGATCCCTTGAGAGTCATGAGATTAGACCATTCTATTGAGTGTCTCCTACCATTCTGCAATGGCAGCTTCTGAGCTGCTGCACTGCAACACCATGGCTATAACCCCCATTGCTGGGAGGCAAAGCCACACAACTTGCTCAAGGCCCCTAAACCAGCCTGCCACTCCTTTAGCTACAGTGGAGAATGCTTACATCTCCCATGCTGAACTAAGATCATGTGAGAGTTTTTGCAACCTTATGTGCTGCCTCTAATAGGTGCGGCCAGGGGGACCTTTCTGGGCTAGGTGACTGTCAGTCACTAACAGCACTAACCAATAGTTTCCCCATTGCCTCTGATTTCAAGGAGAGCCCTACCGCTCTGCTAAGAGCTTTTTCTCCTCTTCTAGAGTCTGTTGGCAGTCCTTCTGCTGAGGCTGTTGGTGGAAATCAGTCAACCATCTTTGACATCTTGCTACTATCAGTTCAAATGTTTTATTCTTTCTACTGTTAATGTCTCAGAATGAGTCACTGCGACTGTAAGTGCCAATTAACAAGAAAAAGGGATGGACTAATCTAGGGAACATGAAACTAGTTCTCTGTGAATCCCTGCACTTCTACTGTGCAGCTAAAGGATTTAGTCACGAATTCAAAACTTTGAAAATGGTTGTGTATACGGGAAGGAGAGATAACATCTTGGTTTTGCTCTCTGAAAGCAAAATGTCTTGAGCCAGCCCTGGCCCAAGAAGAGACATCCTACTTTCATAAAGATAGCCATGTGAGTAAAGGAAGATGCTGACAAAGCGTAATGAATACCTGTGTATCTCGATCCAATAAACTTATTTTGATAGACAATGAAATAATGCTGTCCCAAACAAAAAATAATAATTGATTTACAAAGGGGTCACCCTACACCTGACTTCTACTTCATGGTGTAGCTTTACAGAGCTAAGAATGATGTACCCATTCCAACATATATCCCTCATCAAAGTCAGATAGATTTCAGTTTTGAAAGCATTTTTTAAAAGCTAGATTATTCAGAGGCAGCAACATTGGAGAAAAGGAAAAATATAATTTATTGCACTGCATGACGCATACTCAGAAAGGCATATTTTGTGATCAAGACAAGACCCAAACAGTCATTGAAGAGCAAGGTCTAATTGCCATTTAATGATACATTTTACAATGCTGGCCGCTACAGCAAGTTCATAGTGCCCTCTGGAGGCAAACTTTTCTGTTCTTTTCTATTTTGCAGAGTGCATTCTTCTACCCCTCCACTCAGCAAAGTTCCACCTAATGTACTATATACAGTATATCACACCCCCTCACATTTCATAAATATTTTAGCATATATTTTCATATGACAACACTGAAGAAATGTTACTTGGCTACAATGTAAAGCAATGAGAATACAGCTTGTATAACAGTGTAAATGTGCTGTCCTGTCAAAATAACACAACACACAGCCATTAATGTCTAAACCACTGGCAACAAAAGTGAGTACACCCCTAAGTGACAATGTCCAAATTGGGCACAAAGTGTCAAAATTTTGTGTGGCCACCATTATTTTCCAGCACTGCCTTAACCCTCTTGGGCACAGAGTTCACCAGAGTGTCACAGGTTGCCATGATGATATCACAGAGCTGGCGGATGTTAGAGACCTTGCGCATCTCCACCTTCCGTTTCAGGATGCCTCAAAGATGCTCAATAGAGTTTAGGTCTGGAGACATGCTTGGCCAGTCCATCACCTTTACCCTCAACTTCTTTAGCAAGGCAGTGGCCATTTTGGAGGTGTGTTAGGGGTCGTTGTCATGTTGGAATACTGCCCTGTGGCCCATTCTCTGAAGGGAGGGGATCATGCTCTGCTTCAGTATGTCACAGTACATGTTGGCATTCATGGTTTCCTCAATGAACTGTAGCTCCCCAATGCCAGCATCACTCATGCAGCCCCAGACATGACACTCCCACCACCATGCGATAGGCATGACACACTTGTCTTTGTACTCCTCACCTGCCCAAACAGGTGTCAAGCAAAAAGCAGAACAGAAAAATCCTGCTGCCTCCGTTGGAGTGTGTTGGAGAATCAGAACCACATGGACCTACAGTATTTAGAAGCAAATCTCAGTCCACTCCTATATGCCATTGCCTCTGGAGGTCACCTTGTATGCAAGGAAATCTTTACCATCTTCTGATGATTATTCAATTTTGTGGCACCTCAAAGGCAGAGCTACTGTAGCATCACACCATGTTTTCTCTTTTATTTTAGGGGGAAAATCTAAACTGAGACAAGAGGTTAAATAGGTTTGCAGCGGGGGGGGGAGTGTTGCATGCATCTTCTCCAACATTTTCAAAGCACTGGTGAATTTCTCTCTTTGGAAGAAATGCTTTGTTACTGAAATATTTATTAACTGCCTTTTTAAGTCCTACCAGGCCTCCCAAAATGGTATGCACCATTCATGAAAACCAACAAAGAATTTCATGGCATGTTGATGATTAAAACATTTTAGTTGTCACCTTATTAGTTTTTAATAATGCCTTCTTTATAGGTAAGGTGACACATGTCCTCTTCTGAGGGGGAGATAGCCATCCATTTGAAGGATTGTCTCTAAAGGAAGCCACAGCTTTGAGCTTACAAGAGCTACTCAGGGCTGTTGAGGATGACATTTTGGAGGTCACTCATTCATAGAACCTTTGGATAACTCAGTGGTGGCGGTTTTTGGCTGTGGAGCCAGAGGTTGGGGATTTGATTCCTAGCTGTGTCTCCTTGAGATGGGTTAGACTTGATGATCCATAGGATCCATTCCAGCTCTGCAGTTCTAAGATCATGATATGGTCGTCATAAGTTAATGACGACAGCACATAGTGACAACTAATCCATGACTAATTTAAAGATTAAAACTCAGAATGGAGGTTGGGATTTTGGAAGTTGCCACTTCACAATAACCAATACTTGGGCTACATCCAGCAGTCACAGAAGTCACTTGGACACTGTCTTGAGTGCCTCGGAATGTGTTGCATTTCCCCCCCCTCCCTGCTACAGCTGTGGGGGTATTCCAGTTCTTCTGCAGAAGGTTCAGGAGTGTACAGGAACTTCCCCCCAACACTGTCAGAAAGATGTCAGCAGAACTATGCATATTGGCCTTAGAATTTGCTAGAACAGCACAAAAAACGGAAGACCTTTCTTAATAGTGCAGCTATTGCTTTTATACCAATGGCTAAATTAGTAAGAAGGCAGTCCTTCAAGACAGAATAACATTAGGAAGCTTCAAAGGAAGTGCTTCTGTTGTCGTGTTTAAAAAAAAAATAACAATATCATTTGCTTACTACAAAAAAACCCATGCCAGCTACCTTTGCTTTAAGAAGATAAAACAGTGCAGACAACACGGGGAAATGTATGTGCACCAAAGAATCACTCTGCAATGATGCACTTCTCAGAGATGCATTAACGCTCACTTTGTCCTTTAGACAGATTAAATGTTTTATCAAGTCCACACAGTCATAAAATGTGGATTAAGCTGTTATGCTTACGGCAACCTGCCAGCATGCTGCTGCAGTGTGGAATCTTATCTGGCACTGTGAAATCTCATTTATTCCTCACCACCACCTCCAAATGTGCAACCAGCACTCACTTGTATCGACATGAGCTGGACTGCAAACTACAGCTGGGATTCCTTTGTGGGTGTGCACACGCAATCACACACCTTGAATTGATTGTACTTTCCTCTTACGCATAAAGATATAGCAGCAACTCTGGGTGCAATCAAAGCAGCCAATGGTACCTCTGCTTCATTGACATCAAAGTGCATTTTACCAAAGCAAGGTCAATTATTTTGGTATTCCCCATCAACAGTAAAAATAAAACATCCACATATCAAATAACTAACACTTTCCTTTTCATGACACTCAAATTGTGCTGCCTAAGGCCTAACAGCAGAGCCCATCTCATCCAGATGTGATTCATAATGATTGTCAACACTATAATCATCAAAAGCTCTTTTATTTACAGCTGTGTGGATGAATGAGATTGTTGTTGTTGTTTGAAAGTGCCATTTTATGGTACAAGAGAAAAAAGACACACCAGGTTTACTGAAATGTCCTTTTCTAACGTTGCTGTTGTTATGAGCTGTCAACTCGGAACTGACTTTTCGTTTTTCGTTTAGTCGTTTAGTCATGTCCGACTCTTCGTGACCCCATGGACCAGAGCACGCCAGGCCCTCCTATCTTCCACTGCCTCCCGGAGT